GGGAACAGGAGCTTGCGCCCGAGCGTTCCGCGCACCAGCGTTCCGCCCGGCTGGGAGCAGGGTACCTGGTCCTCTGCCAAAACCATCCCCATCGCAGCCCTTTTCTGACGGATTTTCACTTGGTGCCAGGAGTTCCGGGCACGTAAACAGAGTCTTGGGGATGGCCCTTGTTGCAGAAGACCAGAGACCCGCGAGGGTTTCAGTTATGGCCACAAAGCACTTACCTCTAATGATTTTGTAGAGGAAATAAAAATATCTGCATTTGTTAAGTTCACGTGTCAGATGGTTCTTGTTATTTCCGTCATTGAACACTCACTAAATTTGCTCTGCATTAGGGACACCGGTCCTGTCCCATGGGAGGATGGCTCACCCATGCCGGTTTCCTAAGCGTTAAGTACGTATTTCTTGATACTTGAGAAATAGATTTAATAGCAGCCATAGATTTAAGTTCCAAAATGAGTCTTTTTTTTTTTTTTTTTTTGACTTGTCAGCAGTACAGATGAGGACAAACAAAACAGGTAGCAGCACCCAGAACTGTGCTGCCATGGTATCTGAAGACCAAAGTTACCCCTCCGACAGGACAGATGAATTTGTATTTCAGAGCATAAACCGTTTTAAGAAATTTAAATTTAACTTCATTTACAGCCAGCTAATTCAAGTGCCTCTCACCTTTCTCTAAAGCTTGCAGTACTGAAAACATTGAATATAAAACACCGGGCCTCGGGGTTCAGCCTGTACGGCGCTTGTGGTGCGTGGCTGGTCCCACGGCGGTGTTTTGGCACCCAGCTCCTGTTCATTGCCTCGCTTCTTGCCGTTTTGAGGGGGAATGCAGGTGCCCAAGGAGCGTGGAGCCCCTCTCTGCGTCCAGCAAGGCTGCTGCACTTTTTTGCTTGTGCTTTCCTTCCAGCTGGAGGAAACAAAAATATCTTTCCTTCCTTCAAACGTCAATGTTCCTTCCAGGAGATGACAACCACAGCTCAGAGGTGTCATGCAGGAAGCATAAGCCGGCAAGGGAATGGAAAAAGGAGACAAACTTATTTTTCTGGACAAAATCTGTCCACGACTAAAGAATAACTGGGCTTACAAATACCAAGGAGATGAATTCTGGTGGCTTTCCAGTCTCTGCTCCGGGATATGCCCGTGATGGCTTTGGGGTGTCCGGCCTTGAGGCCTTTAGCTGTTGCTGAGGAAAATGCATT